CTTACAAGGGCTGCACCTGACAACCCCACCATTGATTATAATTTCAATACCACTTACTGTCTTTGTTAATAAACACGTTTTTGCTCTTATGATTGAGCGGCCTCGTAATTATACAAATCCCCCAATCCCACCATCTCCTTTGAGGAGGGACAGTGAGTGAAAAAAAAAAAAAAAAATTGGGTAAGGGGGGGGAAAGAAAGGCAAAGGGAGTAACAATGTGAAAGCACATGCTGTCAATACCCTGCTTGCACATATACATATACTGCGACTACGTTAATTACTAATCAACAAATCAGATTTGTTTTATCCAAAACTAACATACGCAAAAATCGGATGTAGCGAATGCGCAAGCAAAACAGTATGAAGACGTGGTCATCTAGGATCCGTTTTTAGTGCTGGTGTATATTTCCCCCTGTTTTGTTGTATTTGGCTGTTTCCTTCCTCTCTTCTTTGCCTCTTTGCCCTTTGGCTGTGTGCAAGTGGGTCGATATGACACACGGGGGTGGGGGCAGCCGCCGCTCAACCTACATCCACGTGGGCGGCCTTGTACGCAAGAGGTTCTGAACAGGGGGAGTTATAAGGAAATAGTGAAAAAACTGAATTCATCTTTCCCTGTTTTTCTTTCTTTCTTTCCTTTTCTTTCTTTCTTTCGCTTTTGCGCTCTGATATTTTTGTGACAATATATATTGTCACACTGTGAATCGGAGCGCGAATGCGGAAAAAAGCAAAACAAGGAAAAGAAGGAAGGAAAGGCCCACCTGTTCATCACCTCTTACGTACAAGGCCAGCCACGTACATATATCGTCACAAATAGAACTGCCCGGTAAACCGTAGGCAGAGAGAGAGAAGAGGACAACAAACGAGGGGCTGTGTATATATATTGTCACATTGTAAATCAGAGCGCACAAAAGGGGAAAGAAAAAAGGAAAAGGAAAAAAGGGGAAGGGGAAGAGGTAAGGAAAGCTCCACCTGTTCATAACCTCTTATATACATTTTTATCGTCAAACAGAATTGCCCGGTAAACCATAGGCAGAGAGAGGGAGGGAGAAGAGGACAATAAACGAGGGGCTGTGACAAACTGACTGAGTTTCACCGAGTCATCAGGAGGCTGAATCTAGTCAAGATGTAAGTACACATGATGGACAACCCAACACTTGAACAACAGCACGAAACTCAGGATGATCAATCATTAATCAAGACAAAATTGATATATACAGTGAGGCCCGCCTTAATATCCAAAAAAGGCATAGAAGCTGAGCTGGAAGTGGGCAAGCTGAGCTGGCAGCTGGCAGCGGGCAAGCTGAGCTGGCAGCACAGCAGGCAGTGGGCAAGCTGAGCTGGCAGCTGGCCGCGGCGGATGGACGCGCACTGAAATTATTCTGAAGGAATCAATTGAACGTCCGATCCAGGAACGCGGGCGCAAAAAAAATGCACCATGAACAAAAAGCCGGCAGGGTTCACTCATACACTGTCCAAAACCCATTCTCCACCCTCCTTGCCATAATACGCTCGGCCTCCGACCTGCATTTCTTTTCCATCTTTTTTCCGAAAACGCATCTTCCTCATCTACCCTTTTCACCAAAGTATCCTTCGTTGAGAACATCGTTTTTTTCCCTTCTATCCCTCAAATTCGCCTTGGCTCAAGAACTTCCCTCAGTGCCCGATACACACGGTAAGATCTCTCTCTCTCTCTCTCTCTCTCTCTCTCTCTCTCTCTCTCTCTCTCTCTCTCTCTCTCTCTCTCTCTCTCTCTCTCTCTGTGTGTGTGTGTGTGTGTGTGTGTGTGTGTGTGTGTGTGTCGCGCGCACACACACACACACACACACACACACACACACACACACACACGCACACAAACACAAAAAAGTCGCTCGCGCGGCTCTGAAGCCAGCTCCGTCAGCCTCGCTGGCAAAGCCTATCCTGACGACTAATAGCACAGCAGTATGGCTGTCTAAACAGGGTTGAGGATGAGGCGAAGGACCGAGCGGAGGGAGAGGGGCGGCGGGGATGGAGAAAGAGAGTGCGAGAGAGAGAGAGAGAGAGAGAGAGAGAGAGAGAGAGAGAGAGAGAGAGAGAGAGAGAGAGAATTACGTCAACAATGATGACCTAGCTAGAATGGTACTTAGTGACGGCCGATCTTGGTGCCCTAAGGAGTAGTCGGTCGGGATGAGATGTCCAACCGACCATAAAATCGTAACCTGCTGCCATATGAATCGTCATATTCCCTGACGTTAGCTGTGAGGAGGGGTCATATTAAAAAAAAAAAGGGGGACGGGGCCAGGGAGGGGTCATATTCAAAAAAAAGAGGGACGGAAATGGCGAGAAAGGGACAAGTGTCAGGATGCCACGAGTGATTCGAGACAAGAACAGCAGGGCACCTGACGTTGGCTTGGAGAGAGGAAGGAGGAGTGCATGTGCATGTGCGGCAAGAGGAGGGGAGAGATTCTAACCTCCACGTCGCCCAGTAGTAATCCCATGATCTCTTCTGTTTCTGTGGACAAGGCATGTGTGACACAAGCCAGCCACACCTCTGTCGTGACTTCCACTCCGGTGAGCGACATAACGCCACGTCAGCTCCCCCTGTAATTGCTTCGTTTCGTTTCGATTGAGCCTCTGATTGGCTGCACGTCTATGCGCGCCAAGCCACATATGATGGCTGAATAGTGGATCCAGCACCAGTTGCGTTTCCCGACGATGTCGCCCAGTGCCTGGCTGTGGTTAATTTCGCACAGACAACCCACACACACTGCCTGCCTGATCGGATCTCCTCCGTGCGACACGTGTGACAAGCCCACGACCACGTGTTTCATAAAGGCACCTTCCCACGGCCCTGCTATTGCGCCCTCGCCCTCTCCGCGCGCGACCAGTTGTGCGGCCAACAGTCGTTTTCACTGTTTTCAGACAAAAGCCCGACCTTTCGGCTCCTGGGTTTTGTATCAGCGACAGCCAGACTTAACGACCAACGACCGAGAACATTGGACCAACGACCGGCCCCCAGAACGGGCCAAAGAGCGACCAGCCGCCCGACCGGTTTTGCACGACCCGTCCGGTCGATCAGGAAGAGGCCGATCAGAAAGACCCTTGGGCCTTTCGGCACTACTCTTGAAAAGAAAAAAAAAAAAAAAAAAAAAAAAAAAAAAAAAAAAAAAGCACAAAAGACAAAAATCGTGGCCGTGTATCTTTCCGTATTCTAGCGGAAGACACTTCACTCTCGTTTTGCACATTTCGAGTCGAGAGTAGTGCAGGGAGGCCCCCTCTCGCCGCACCACACCAAATACTGAAAAGACAAAGCGGTGGCCGGCGTATCTTGCCACTTTTTGGCGGAAAATACATTCTCAAGTTTACACATTTGGCCAGCTGTGCCCAAAAAACAAACCCCAAAACTATCGAGTGCCCGCCTGTCGGTCGCTCGTGAATTCCGGAACGCCGATCCCACGGCTACCGACCAATCGCCGGACCCAGCGACCGACCAGGGCGGCAAACAAAACCCCGCCCAGCGGCGAGCGCGCGCTTTCGCCGCAAATCGAGTGAGGGCTCACTCACCGCAGGACATCCGGCCGAATCTGTCCGTAATTACGTCCAGACACGTCGACGCGGGTCCGCAAATTTGAGCTGAGCAGATACGTAGACAGTTCTCCCGCCCACGAATCATTTCCAATTTATAGCCCACGAGGCCCTGCGCTATAGGGTCTCGTTCCACACCACTAGAGAACCCTAGAGTCTCAAGTGCTCCCGAATCCCGAAATCGTGTTTAAAAATACTTCATCAATCTTCGTTCCATGTGCACTTGAGAAAATACTAGAGAGGAGTAAGAAAAGTAGCATGGGGGTAGGGGGGAGCCAAGGCTGGGCGACTGCGCTAGACTGCGCTATTTTTTGGCCACTCCGAACTGGCGCTGGCATGGGTTTACTCGCGGTTGAGGTTGGCTCGCGGTTGACGTTTTACCTGGGAATTCTCTCGCGGTCAAGTCAGTGCCCTACCTCGTCGTTAACCTCGCCATTGCGACGGTGCACGAAGAACCCTCCATACCCACCCTTTGTGGGTACCGGCTATGCCGGGTTGGTGTTCTATCGAGGTAGCCATCAAGTTACTGGAATAGACAGGGGAGTGTGGGTCAAGGAGCGACGATTAGCTCCGGACTAAGGATCGTCTTTATGTTATCAATTACACGGATATTGTCGTCATCAAATTAGGGTTCTGGCATCAGTGATTAGCCTGTTGCCAAGAAGGAAGGAGGATGAAGGAGCTAAGTCCAGATAGAGCTCAGGCGAGGAGATATAGCGGGTAAGGTGGAATAAAAGTATCGACCTTCACTATTTATCAGGAGCTGGGCTAAGAAAAGAAGCGCGGATACACTACTGCCGAGGTTATGGGGCAAGGGATAGGGGATGGAGGTAGGGCCTGCAAGGGATGGGGGGGGGGGGGGGAGATCTCCCCCACCTCGCCCTCCGCAAATGAATTTTTGGGCAATGGAGGACATAGCCCGACTTTCTATTAGTCAATGCTATGACGAGGGAGTAGTCCAGATGGTTGAGAATGTGGTGGAAGTAGTGATAGACGAGAAAGGTAAGAGGTTCTGAGTCAATGAATCCTTTGAAGCAATTAAACCACCAGTACTTGGCCCAGCTATCGCAGCCGACCCTGGAAGTGCCCTGCGCGCCGTTTCCCGCTGAAGCGCTAATTCAATTTTGGTTTTCGGAAAGGCTGGCGGCGCCAGCCTTCCAGGTCCGGTTGCTCGAAGCACGAACTTCACGTAGTCTTAACGCTAAGGCCCGCGGCCGATATATGGGCCAAGTACTAGTGGTTTAAGGAGAGATGGCTCAAAGAAAGAACAGTGATCCTCATTTTTCAGGATGAGGCCCGGGATCTTCCCAGGAGTGTTAAAGAGGATATAGTAAGGGCTTACGGGCATTTGCTTGACCCGGACATTTGGAGGGGGAGGATTAAGTTTGAAAACCTGAATGTAATCTCTTACGTGGCAAAGGCAATGGAGGTGGCTACATGGCTTATTCAAAAGCGAACGATCAAGCTAACTCTGAGAGGGAAGGAGTATCTTGTGCTTATTAAGCCATGGATGACGAGGTTAGACCTCAAGGAGTTACGGTTGAGGGAAGCGGAGACTAATTTTTGGATAGTGGCATTATGAGTCCCTCTAGATGCTATGTGCTACCTACCGTCTGCAGTGGAAGGCCTGATTGGGGGAGTGAGGCACATGCATCTGCTAGAAGTGGACAGAACAAAGCCTAAGCTGATTAATATAAAGCTCGATATAGATCCGCAAGCACGATTCAGGGTGGAGGACACACTATCCATTGAATCCCCAATGGGCGAGCTATGGACGGTACAGGTGGCGACCCCATACTCTGATTGGTGTCGTAAGTGTCGGTGGTACTTCCACACCGAGGAGGTCTGCCCAAGGCAAGGTGATCTTAGCCCGAGAAGATACTGGGAAAACTCTAGACTATCACGTCAACAATCACAGGGCCGTCCGCATGAAGGGCAGGGCTCGAAGAGGCCGTCCCAAGCTCCGAGCCGACAGGCTTCAGTTCAGCAGCCTCATTCACAAGGCAGGGAGTTGGGCCTCAAGTCTGGGGACAAGACCGTCGGATATTGAGCACAATGTTTGAAAATCTCAATCATGGGCACGAACAACCGTTCGGGCTGCCGCCACCAGGGAGTTCGTTCATGGCTCCGTAGTTGTACCTGACATTATGGCCCAGGGGGTCTACTCCAGCGCCATCGCCTCACTGTTTTTCGTATCATCAGCACGGGCCTCCACGGTATCAGGGGTGCGAAGTCCCAGGCTGCTTGGGATCTAGGATGCTGACTTCGGTGATCCAACCGCTTCCAGCGGGTACGCATAAGTGGTAAGGGAGGATTGGGGGAAAAGAGGAAGCGGTACCACATGCATCCCCGCATGAAGACTCGACATACCCTCCTAGCAGGCAGACGCCTAGACCTGGTATGTCAAGGCCCCACGAGCCAAAGGGCCAACTCTCAGTCGGGGGTGCAAGAAGGGGCATATCAAGAGCTCACGGGGATCCCCACATGGATCCCCAGGAAGGAACCCTTGGAGGTGGGGAGGAGGAACCATCAGAGTTTTCCTCTACGTCAAGATTTAGAGTAGAGATGGGCAGTGAGTTTGTTGGGGACGACCGAATGCTGGGCGGGGAAGGCTTCCTGCATGCGGAACGATCGATGTCGTCGTCCGGAGGGTCTCAAAGGAGGAGAGGGGGAGAATCAGATACCTCCAACAAGCGAGGTTATAAAACTCATAGAAGTCTAGAGCATCGGCCGATGGAGAGAAGATTGGTCCCAATTGTATGTGCCATGGCAGAAAGCTCTGCATTCTTCTTGGGCTTGACACAGGCAAATGGAGGGCCATATCTTCCGTCTGTATATACAAACAAAATGCCGCTACCGAGAGAAATTTAAACACATACGAAGTTCCTGTTCGGGGATGCTTTCCCAATCAGGATCATTGCTCGGGTCGGTGATGGTGAGTGTTCTAGTCCCCCTGGAGGTGAAGGTGCTGAAGTTCTATTTCCCACTCTTAGATGCGCGTCTGGATCCCACAACTGCAGAGGCCCTCACTCAAGTCGGGATTAAGTGGTTCAATTTGGAAGCAGTGAGGAAGGCGAATAGTCATGAGTTGGACTCCATCATGATTACGCAAGAGGTCTCTGCGCTGCTGTTGCCGAGAATGAATGACAAGCTTACAAAATCACAAAACCTACAATCCAGGTTCCTGCTGGACTCTATGGTGGAAGAATGACGTTCCTCTACGCAGTCTGGCCAGTCGAGGGGCACTCAAGGACAGAGTCCTACGCATTAATCCCCGGTTCAGAGATAACCCAAGTGGGGTGACGACCAATCAGAATCCCGCATCCAAGAGCAGGCGAAAAATGATGTCGCCAATGGTTAAGCTCAAACTGGCTACATGGAACGTGCTGGGCTTGGGGGATACATCGGGTAGAGACAAAAGGAGAAGGATGAAGTCCTGGTTGTTTCAACAAAAGATTGATTGTTTGGGGATACAGGAGACCAAGCTGGATGAGGAAAAGTTGCAGTCCATTCAGAAATGGTGGGACGACCCCCAATATTGGTCCCCAACTCAGGGGAGAAAATCGTAAGTTGCAGGCGGATGTGATAGATGCAGAAACGAACCTTTGGGGAAGGTGGGTATGGGTAAGAATGATCACAGGACAGACAGAGTGGGTACTGATGTTGGTGTACGCACCCACGGAGCTAGCGTCGAGAGTCTGTTTTTTTCAGAGTCTACGAAGGATCATGCCCGCAACTGACAACCTGATAGTCTTTGGGGACAAGAACCTATCACTCGATGAGGCATTGTGCAGAAAATCTCGATCAACCGGCAGAAGGGACATAGTAGCTCTCCAGGAGCTGATTCAGGAACGGGATCTGTCGGATCACTTCCGTGGTCTGAATCCAGAGGAGCAGGGTTACACGTGGTATTCCAATATTCGGAGGGATGGGGATCGATTGGAGGTTATCAGACGCAGGTTGGACTACGTGCTGGTCGACAAGGGCCTGGCACAAGGGGTGACACAGGTTCGGCAGGTCTCACACCCACTCTCAGACCATAAGCCAGTTTTAGTGGACTTGGTGCTAGCTGGATCTGTGGGTAGAGGAAGAAGTTACTTCAAACTGAACAACCTAAATTTGGAGGACCAAGGGATGAGAGAGTGGGTTCAGGAACACATGGCCCCGTGGCAAACAGTTAAGCCGCACTTCACA